GACGTGTCCGACACGTGTCGGAGGAGTGTCGGACGAGTGTCGTGTCGGACACGGTGTCGGACACTGCAAGCCTCTTTGAGGAGAAGTGTCGGTGCATCATAGATATATATATATATATATATAAACAAAACTCGTGACTACTTTCCAGAAATATAAAAATCATTACTACATGCAAAGTCACCTTAAATTTCCAAGAAAGTAAAAAAAAATTAACAAAACTCAAAAACACATATATAACATAAATTTTTCAGAACTAAATTGATCATCTGGTCTCTATTCTCTTTGCCGGAGCTAACTTAAAAAAATTTCCGAAGGTCTGCAGCTATTTATGGCCAAATACATGACATAAAAGAGGTAGGGGTCTGATATCAAAGCACACAGCATCAACTCCAAAGCAAAAATTCACGTGAAAAAGCCAACATTCACGTGAGGAATAGTGGGGGTCTGGTCAGGTGGAAGAAGAAAACGAAGAGGAGGATGACGTTTTTCACTAAAAACGCAGTTCAAGATTGCGTTCTGTGCTAAAACGTGATAAGGCTTTGTGTTTTCCTCTTAAAATGCAAATTCTTTTAGTATTTTCATACAAAATCCAACCATGCAGTGCGTTTTTATCCTTTTTAAATTAAATATATATCATGTTCATTCTCCTAAATCTTAGGTGAAACATGATCCTTCTAAAAATTTCGCCAGTATTGAACCTATATCCAAGCAATGATGAAAGTATTAATTTTTAAATCCTAAAAGAGAATATTCAGGGATGATTGTAATGATGAAAGAAGCAAACACAAAGGATATACCTTCATGGTTTTACTGATGGTGGGATAGATTCGGGGCATAACTAGAAATCCTTCCTGCTCCTATCCAACAAATTTACAATTCATGTATCGATTCGTCTCCCAAAATACAAGAAATTTGGCAAGAAATACTAATTAAAGATCAACGTTTTGTCTATTCCTTTATACAATGCCATATCTCTTAATATGGTCATGTGAGATTTCCATCGGCCATGATCATATTAATCAATGGCATATTACTAAGGAGGTTTTTACTCAAAAGAAGGCCACAAATTAATGTGGACGAAAATTAAAATATATTAAAAATCTTATTAACTCTAACAAGGAGTGGGCCATTAGACATGTACAATGCAATCCTAAACAAAGAATGCTGCAATAATAAAAAATGCAAATTGTAAAACTCTAAAGGACCAGCTGATTTGATTAGGAGTTAGGAAGATGCTCGAGTTCGACTCACGGGCTAAATTTTAAGCTATGCTCGTGCTTTGAAAACAAACTCGTTGAGCAGCTCGATTCTACGATTCGAGCTTCGTGTCTGCGGCCAGCCCCTGCCTTCTACACGATTCCTCCTTCATGTCTGAGCCCGCCCCACGATTTTCGCTCCGTTGCTCGCATCTGAGCCCTTGTTTTGCATCTAAGCCGACGATTTTACTTCGCCTACCACGTCTGATTCTGCTCCACCTCTAGAATCCCCATCGCATCGAGATTCTGCCTTTCAAAACTTCGCCTAATTATGCACTCGAGTTGCTCGACAAGTACTTGAGCCGAGCTTCCTGAGGATTGAACTCGAGTTAGATAATCCAACGAACTCGAAATTCTACTTGAGCTCGAGCTTGAAACTTGATAAGCTCAACTCGCGAGCTCGTTAAATAGTTGAGCTCGAGCCAGCTTGCCAATCGTCTTGACTCGGTTGCACCCCTAATTGGGAGGGAATTAGAAAGTTTCCTAATCAAGAAGGAGCTATTTAGGAAGGTTCTTAATCAAAGGAGAATTATTTAGGAAAGTTTTAATTATAACTTGACGGAATTATTTAGGAAAAGGGAGAAGGAATCAAGGTTGAATTGTTTAAGAAAGTTTTAATTATACTTAGGAAGAAATTATTTAAGGGAAGAGATTTGATTCGAATTCAAATATAAGAGGGAATTATTTAGGAAAATGTGGTTGATTTTGGAGGGAATTAGAGCCTATTTAAAACTAACAATAGGGTGATTTCAAGTTTAGGATGTTATTTGCTGAATTTAGATTGTTTTTAGGGACTTTTGGGCTTTAGTCGGCAGCTAGGGATTTGGAATAGTCAGATCTTCCTATATCCATCATATCTTGTTGTTTTCTCCTGTATATCATCAATTAAAAAGAGTTTTCTCTTATTATTGCTCTTAGTTATTCTTGGAGATTGTGTTTGGGACTGCTGTAATTTAATTTCGGTCAAGGGATATAGGATTTTTACAAGCATTTTTTATCAAATTGATATCAGAGTCGCGTCCTAGGCTGAAATATAAGTCTTCATCGCTAAATTTTATTGCATTTGATCCCTCCGTCTTGTTGATTTTTTCTTTTGGGAGACAATTCGCTGTTTTTTGCTATTTAGAGCATAATCCGGGTACTTATGGCAGGAAGAAAAGTAAAAGTGCTGGAAGGGGAGACTGGAAAATTGAAATATGATTTTGTAGAAAAGTTTTCAGATTTCGAAAAGCAATTTTCAACCATCCATGAGAAGATCGATGATAAGTTTTTCATCATGGAGGAGATTAGGAAGATGCTCGAATTCCAAACCAAAACAACGTCATCGGAAGCGAGGGGAGCCACCAACGATCAAGGGAGTGGAGGAAACCCTAATCTGATAAGAAGAGGGGAAGATCGAGAGGTGGAAATGTTAGAGGAAAAAAGAGGAGAAGACACCTTTTGAGCCACTTCCAAGGAGGGGAAAGGGTGAAGAAGTGAGATTTTTGATGGAGCTGTAGAGTTTGGAAGTAGAAAAAGATAGGGAGAACATAGAAGCACCAGACATGGTTCAGGCACCCCTAAAGTAGTATCGAGGGTGTTCCAGCTAGTTCAAGGGTTGCCTCCTCCACGAGAACGCGAGCGTGCTATCATCTCAAAGGAAGGAGCATCGCCTATCAGTATTTGCCTGTACTGTCATCCCCAAATCTAGAATGAAGAGATTGAGAGATGAATCAAGGAGATACAGAGGTAGGGGTCATTCGACCTAGTGACAGTCTATTTTTCAGTTTAATGCTATTTGTCTAGTTTCCTTCATTCCACCTTGAGGACAATGTGGCACTTTGGGAGGGAAGCATTGATGGATCGCCCGATTTGATTGAGAGGGAATTAGGAAATTTGCTAATTAAGAGGGTTATGAAGATTCTTAATCAAAAGAGAATTGTTTAGGAAAGTTTTAATTACAATCGGGATGGAATTATCTAGGGCAAGAGATCTAATTTGAATTTAAAATCTAAGAGAGAATTAAGTTAGGCATAGGGAGGAGGAATCAACGGGGAATTGTTTAGGAAAGTTTTAATTACAATTGGGAGGGAATTATTTAGGGCAAGAGATGTAACTTGAATTCAAATATAAGAGGGAATTATTTAGAGAAAGGGGGTTGATTTGGGAGGGAATTAAGGGAACCTATTTAAGGTTACCAATAGGGTGATTTTAGTATTAGGATGCTATTTTGCTGAATATAGATTGTTCTTAGGGAGTTTTGGGCTCTAAGCTATAGCTAGGGATTTGGGAGAGCTGGATATTTCTCTCCAATAGAAGATTCATTGTATCTTGTTATTTTCCTCCATATATCATCAATTAAAAAGAGTTTTCTTTTATTATTGCTCTTAATTCCTCTTGGGATGTTTGCGATTTTTGTAATTTAATTTCAGCCAATGGAGATAGGATTTTTACAAGCACTTCCTATCAAACTCTTGGCAATCCCAATGCCTAATTTAGAAGAAGATTAAAGATTTGCTCAAGGTAATGATGAAGTTCTATCACAGATGAATTCATGATGGAATGATGGGCCAATATTCAGAAATTGTGATAGGAAATACTTGAGTTCGCAAGTAGTCCTATCGGATCTACTTGAGTTCACAAGCAACCCTAATACAAAATTGATCAAAACAGCAAGAATAACCAAGATCGGAGAAGAAATGGCCAAGAAAACAATAGAACTTTATCGAATACTCAAAGCAAAGTAAACATAAGAAAAGATACAATTGATCCTCTATTCGAGAGGAGGATCATTCTCTCCCAAATCTCTAGACAGTAAGTCTAGAGCCCAAAACTCCAAAGAGACTCCAAGAGAACACCAAACTAAGCATGCCTTCACCCTTCTCCCCTCATCTCTATTTATAAGCCTTTCTTAGCCCCCCGGCCCCCCCCCACTATCCATATATATTTAATTTAGAATTTTTAAATTCGCCTCCTTCCATATATGTATTTAATTTAGAAATTAAATCTCCCTAGTGGACCCCACCTTGGGCGGCAAGGCTTGCCTCTGATAAACCCGGCTTGGCTACGTCGGTTTGGGAGGCACCGATCTCTCCCAGGTCGGTTGGACAAGAACCGACCTATCAAATTGTTATAGAAAAAAATCATGAAAACAACAAGGATATTAGGTGGCAAAAGCCAGAATAGTGACATCAAAAAATTTTACAAGCAGAAAATGAAAATCGGATAAGAGGGGCCAATGTATTTCCTTCTTTCTCGAAAGATCGCTTTAAAAAAAAATATTTTTCTTTTGTAAACCAGATGATTCACTTCTTTGTAAAAGGAAATTGTGTTATATCCACTTGCAAAATAAGTTTGAATTAATTTAGTGGCTAGTCTGTCTATATAGTTCTATAAATAGGTGTGATATCTGCCTTAGATGGCAAAGTATGTTTGAGAGTGTTTGTACTTTCCCCAGCGAGCTTCTATCTTCATCTTATAAGTTTTATAATCAAATTAATAATACCGATGCATATATATACCCTGAATAATAGACCATATTTTAAGAAAACTTTTTATGAAGAAAATAGGTAGTGAAATATCTACAGAAGTGCTGATTAGTCCACAGTGACGTATGATACATTTCAAACACTTGAATATTTTTCTTAAAACAAATACATAGAGAAAACATACCATGGGACCTAACAGAAGTTGAAGCAATAGAAGGATAGGCTTATATACGATTTAGGCATTGTTTTTCAACCTAATAATTTTTTTAACCAGTAGAAGCTAAAGTAAACAAAATTTCTAAGCAAATTTTTGTCCCTTCGCATTTAGATATCTTTAGATGTTTTTTGCTAATTTAGGTGTGTAATTAAATAATGCAAATGGAAAGCTTTAAACATTGCTTATAATCTTGCTTTCCAGTAAATACAGGGACTCACCTTGACAAGCGTACATTCATTGCAAGAAGAGTTGTCAATGCAAACCCTACAAGTCAAAATAAAGTAAAAAATACAAACAATAAGATTAGTACTAATGAATTGACTCTTAAATAGAATTAGGGAGGAGCTGGGCTGGCTCCCGTCCCCTCGATTTGAGAAAAATTCTATATAATCTAATAGTATTACTCTTATATTCTACTATAATCACGTATATTAAAGATGATTTAATCCCCTAAATTTGAGTTGAAGGCTTTCACCTTCTCTCAGATGAAATCTTACTTATGCCGTTGTTTAAATAGACATTGAAACGTATGGAAAAACAGAGAGTTCCAGTAAAACCTTGGAGGGTTCATGTATTTGCTGAGATTCTCATAGTCAGGATCAAAATAAGGCCACATATGCACCATGGTGAAATGCGAGCAATAGTACTTCCTTCGTCTCCGCTCTGCATGTTTCATTTAAAAATTTAGGTAATTAATTACTGAATTCCTACTTATACCATGAAACTACTACTTTTAAAGTTATGTAAAGTTGCAAGAAATTTAAATTATTTTCAGTAAACTCTATCACAACAAATCTATCAGTATTGTTTTACCATAACCAAAATGAAAAAAACATAGTAAATTATATCCCATAAATAACGGTAACAAGTTTCTCTTTTCTGTAATCAGAAAATTAGCTTTTTGAATTTTGAATAATTTAAATTAGAATTAATAAGATTTTCCTAACCAATAGTCCTCTAGTTCGTTGAGATTGTCTTAACAAACAGGAGAAAGTATCAACTATTAAGAAGGAAATTGAAGACTCAGAAAAAAAAAAAACTTAGTCTGCATCATGAACCTGGAATAAGCCCTCTTGTACACTCAGTTACATCATAGGCACTTTGATTAGCAAAACTAGAATAAGCAGCCAGTTCAGATTAGGGTTGTTCTGATGAGATAGTTCGAATAAAGTTTAATCCTATTTCGTTACAGTTCTTTTATTTAAAAAAAGTAAGAACGCAGAAGCCTGAAAATTATAAGTGATAAGGAACAACTATTAGAATAAAACCATGCCATCAATCAGCCATAATAGACAAAGTGCCCTCCACGTCACCATGACGATGGTTGGAATATTTATATATTATTCCAAATCGCAATGAAAAGAAGAGAAACAGCAGCTTAACCAAAAAAAAAAAAATCTAATAATTTAAGAGAGGCATTTAAGCTAGTGATAATGGAAATTTGATGGTTACGGGAACCCGTCAACAAAGGTGGAGGGCCAAAAATGCAAAGATTGGTGCTTGTTAAAAGATGAATAAACAAATAAGTTGATTCCACGGTATCCATTTTCTGCTATGCCACTCATTTTCAAATAGCTGGTGCTTTGCCCACCAATTTGGCACGTGGGGTCGTGTGAGACCCATATGATGCGCGTGCAGGAATTATGCTTGATCACCTGCCATCTTTTTGGTTGCTTATGCAGTTTATTTTTTTGTGAGTGTGCAAAATACTATTTTAATTAGAATATTTCAAATTTATTATTTGGAATAACTAATTCGGTGATTACTAACAAAATAATAAAAATAGGTGGTTAATAATAAGTCTGGCGTTTCTCTCCTCAGCTTTCTTCAATTCAAACGACATGACATTGCAACAGTACAACCTATCATGCATGGATGATGAAAGCGAACTTCTCTATGTTGGCGAGATGCATCTTAATTTGATGATAACATGTGTTAAGAAAATTATTATTGGAAAGTTGATTGTTTAGCAATTGGAGCATCGATTCATTGAAGAAGGTAGCTTTTCTTGGGATAAGCCTAGTTTAAGTTAATGAAGTCAATGCACACCCTCTACTTTTCCTTAATTTTTGAACCACAAAGATATTTAAGATCCTATTTGAGTGTTGGACTTCTTGGATGAATTCAGATTCTGGAGCTCACATTAAATTTGCTCTTGCAACGTTAAGACAACTACGCGAATTGTGTATCAGATTTGTCGATGTCCAATTGATGAAACATGACATTAATGTAAACTTTTGACATTTTGCTATGGATCAAGCAAAAAATTGGATGCAATCGAAGAGTTGATCTTGAGTTTCTAAATTGAAAGGAGCGATTATAGGCAGAGTACCACTTGGGTCATCATCTAAGAGGACAATTTCATCAATGGTATATGAAGTCGTGAGTCTAGCTCCTCAGGACCTCGAGTTGTAATACTTCTTAAATGGATATGATTGTGTTCACATAATATGCCCGAGATTGCAGAAAGTCTCCCAAAACAATAAGTGTGTAGCCTCTTACGGGAAACTTCAGAGTTATGTGATAAGTTGAGATAACAACTTTGAAAGTGTTCAACATATACAAACAAGAGATGGCACAATAACTTGTTTGGTTTGGTTGCGGACTATGATGAAATCAGTCGTTACAATATATTGAATGTCACGTTCCCCCGAAGTAATATGTAGCATGATGTGGCTTCAACCTTCCATTACTCATAAAAAAAATTTGTTTAAGACTTCAAGGGAATAAAAGTGAGCATCAACTTAGAAGAATCAAAGTTCATTTGATAAAAAATACATTTGAAGATACAACCAATGTGAAAGTTGGCAATAGGGTTTATAATGTTGTTGTATGAATTCCCGATGTATGGTCAGTTAGTATCAATAAAGGCGATGAGCATCTCAGAAGATGATAGTGAGCATGAGGAAGCATGAACCTCTCTTGATCAGTGTCCTTTGAGGATCACTTTCCTTGATGCTTGAGTCGTAGCTTCATCATAAAGAATTCATTGGGACTATCCTTGTAATATGGATCACATGCGCTTGCACAAGCTCTTGTCTTCCTCAACAGGCGTCTTATTTGGATGCCATCTTGGGTTAGTAATGAACAAATATTTTGAGCTTGTTGACATGAAGCAACTCTTCCACAAGGCTTGAGAAGCGACAGTCCATTTTTTGGCCTTGATTACAAAAGACATAATATTGAAATGGATCACGAATATATCATGTAGTGCGCATTGGAATTGGTTGGCAAAAATATACTTTGATAATGAATGGCATTCATTATATATAATGATGACACTCGAACAGGAGTATAGCTTGGTTCCTAAGATGTTGAGAAGACCTCTCCCTTTCCAACGGATCATAAGTGAGCATGCCCTTATCACACTTTTTAGGGCTGAATCCTCTATTTTGTTGATAATGAGGCTTCTTGGTCCGACTTATACTATGAATCATGGGTATATTGTTGCAAAACTACCGTAGGTCTAGAGTGGACAGGCTTTGGATTCAAAATCAAGCAATTGCATTCTAAATTGATGTGAATATTAGTCAACACTAGTAATTCAACCAATTTCTTCAATTGTTGCATTTCGAGCACGTAGCTTCTTTGAAGCCTTAAGTAAACACTCCCAATGTTATAGCAGGTTACAAGTACTGTACATCTAATACTGTGCACTAAAACTAAGTGGCTAAATGGTGGAGGGACTCCTCAAACTCTTATCTTATGCTCAAAAGAACCTAGGAGTTTTTTATGACTTATAGGTGCTAGGCTGCTAGCAAACTAAGTAATGAGTTGTCACTTGAAGTCAGCAAATGGAGATGATGCCTCTCAGAGAAAGATGAGAGAAGCATCACAATGATGCATCCTTGAAAGTAGTAAGAAGCATACATCATTTCACAATATCGCCCATACTTAGAAGAGAATATGTCGACATGAAGCGAACGATGTGTTTGATAGGATCAGACTTCCCTTTGTAGGAAACAAGAATAATATCTTGAAATTTGGTGGCGATTGTGCCTTCATGATCCGTATTAAAAAAATATTTTATCAACTAAACTTGAAGCTAAATAGGATGGTGAAGAAGAGGAGTCTATACAACACTCTCCTCAAGAATATAAGACTTGCCATCTTCAAGTAGAGTGGAGGAGTAGCTCTAAGAGTGGTGAAGTTAATGATTAGGATATATATCAAATTCTAGTTTATGGTGGAGTCGGTGGCAAAAAACACTCAAATATTTTCTATATCATTCATATCGAGCAATTCTCCGTGTGATGTAGTTGTTCTGAGGTAACATAGTCATTAGGTCACTCTTTGTGCAAGGATCTCTTGTGGTCTTCAAGACAATCCATGTTCTTGGTCTTAGTTCTTGGCATATTCTTTTGACAAGAACCCATGTTGGTTAGCAAGTACGTCAGATGAGTTGATGGAGCATTGTTGATTAATAAGAAACTATATGAGTCTCCTGGGCAAGTTGAACAGGTTGGTACTAAGGCTGAGTTAGAGCTAACTCTTGAGCAACATATACAACAAACAATCAACAAACATCAAGCCTTATACCTACTACGTACGGGGTCGGCTCACATGAATCATTTTTTCTCCATTGTGTCCTATTAATAAGTCAAATTCTCGTTTTAAATCTAATAAAGAAAGGTCATTCCTAATTATATTTCTAACCAAGTCCTTTTTAGGTCTACCCTACCTTTCTTAACATAAGTCAAATACTAATACCTCTACTCTCCTATCGGGTCATCGGAAGGCCGCCGTTTTATGTGAACAAACCATCTAAGGCGACTCTCTATAATCTTATCTTCTACTGGAACTACTCCAACCTTTTCACGTATATGCTAATTTCGTATTCTATCTCTAAGGGTAAAGCCACTCATTCCACCTGAGCATCCTCATCCTCTGCCACACTTAACTTATTATTATGCTTCTCTTTTAATGGCCAACATTCGGCAACCATAAAGCATTGCAGGCCTCACTACCATCTTATAGGATTTTCTTAAGTTTGAGGGGTACATTTCTATCACATAGCAAGCCCGATGCATTCCTCCACTTCAAACCATCCAACTTGAATTCTGTTGATAATATCCACATCTATTTCACCATCACTCTGAACAAAGATCCAAAATATCTAAAACGTGTACTCTTTTAATGACTTGATCGCCCAAAGTCACTAATCCCTTCACTAGGGTCTATTACTTACTAAAATTATACTCCATATATTCCATTTTAGATCTACTCAAGCGAAAACCTTTAGACTCTAAGGTTGACCCTCCATAATAAAAGTTTATCTTCAACTCCCTCCCTAGTCTTATCAACAAGAAGAATATCATCAGGAAAAAAGCATACACCAAGGTACATTCCTCTTGCAAATGTCTAGTGAGAACATCATGGACTAAAGCAAAAAGTATGGGCTTAAGGCTGATCCTTGATGTAACCCAACCGAAATAGGGAAATACTTGGTCAAACCACCTTGTGTTTTGAAACACAAGTAATAGCTCATGCATACATATCTTTAATGATTTGAATATAAGCATTATTGACTCATTTCTTTTTCAAGAACTCTCCATAGCACTTCTCTTGGAACTTTATCATATGCTTTTTTAAATCATAAATATCATATTGTAGATCCTCCTTATTTCTCTATTATTTTCCATCAAACCCTTAATAAATGTATGGCTTCCATAGTCCGACCTACCCGGCATGAATCCAAATTGATTTTGAGAGAAACATTAGTATCACGTCGTAACCTATGCTCCATAACTCGCTCTCATAGTTTTAAAGTGACCGCAAGCTTTAATTGTTCCCAAAAAATTTAAGTCGATTCTCAATCAATGCCTTCTTTATAACTCGATTCTAATGTTGATTAAACTTGATTAACACAACTTAAGGTGATTATGGTTGTACAATATACATCTTTTTCACATGTAACCTATATTACGAAGCTATTAAAAAATATTCATGTTTTCGTTTTTTTTCTACTTCTTCAAAAAGTTTTGTTCTCTTTTTTCTTGTTAACAGAATTTAAAATAATCTGTAAATATTTTAAAGATAAAATATTTAAAGAATCTGTATAAAATTTAACAAACCTATAGCTTAAATGTAACATATCAAAATTTCTATCAAGTTTTTATTTAAAAAATCAAATGCATCAACAAATTGAAACACAAATGATTCGAAAACACTAAACCAATTGATCCATTCAAATTCTAATGTCCACTATCCTTAAAAATGATTTTAAAAAATTTATTAGCTCAGGCACGCTTGATTTGATCAAAAAATGATGTGAGTATATCCAATTTTGGTTTAAGATTGGCAAAGTCATTAATCTGATCTAAAAATGACGCTGAGTTCAAGTGTTGCTATAGTGGCTTGATTGATCTTGAATCAAGCTATATATATGGCTCATTAATATGATATTAAGCTCGTGCTAGCTCAATTCAAATTTGATATAAGCTTACTTAACTCGTTTACGTTAATTCTAACACAACCTGAGCTAAAAGTCACTCAATTTTTTTAGCAAACTTTGAGTATAATTTAAGGATAAATTAAAAAAGTGCTATATCTATAATTTAATAATATAATAAATTAAATTAAATTTTTAAAATTATTATTAATTGTACAGTGGTTTAAACCTTTCACTAATTAGAAGTCAAAATTTTCTTTTAAATTTATATTATTTATATAAACTATGGGAAATAACTAAATAAATAGTGTGCAAGTTATATTAGATAAAAATTTTATAACAATTAAGAATTTTTAATATTTATTTTATATAAATTAAGAGTAGGATATAAATAAGAACAATCTATGATCTATAAATTAAATTAAATATTAAATTGATTGGATAATGTGATTCATACCATTTTATAACAAAGATTTTAAATTGGAAAAAATATTGCTTTATAATATATATATATATATTATATATTATTGGGATTGAGAAATTCCATTTCAAGATGCAGCTCTTTTATCATAGAGAGAGAGAGAGAGAGAGAGAGAGAGGAGAGAGAGAGAGAGAGACCCATTTCAGTGAAAGACTAGGGCAATAAGCAATTATCTTAGCAAAAGCCAAGTTGAATCCATCCAGTCATTTTGAACAGCTCATAGAAAAATATAAAACTATTAAAAAATATTTAGTTTTTAGAGAAAATAAAACTAATAATATTAATTCAAATTAATAGCTCAAATAAAACCTTTCAAATTATGATATAATGACACGTGCCCTACCACTCATATGATTTCTGAAATTTCATATATGTTCCCATGTTGGCGCAACTTAATTTAGTTACTAAAAACTTTAAAAATTATATCAAATTCATGGGATCTAATCTCCTCGGCATTAAATTTATATTTGACGCTCAATAATCAAATTAAAAATCATATATAATATTTCTCAAATAATAAAACAATTTAATGCGAAAATGCATCATTACTAAATCATTTATAAGAAGCATACGACTCAGGTTAGGTCATTTTGGCGCCTAATTGGCGTCTAAATCCGGCCAAGAACCGCCGGTTTTGATCCCAATCCGCGTCCGAAGAAGAAGAATATGTAGCCTACAAATTCCCTGTATCTAAAAATTTACAACATCAATCTGAAAAATGGGAGAAAGAAGAAGAAACAAAGCCGCGCGTGGATTCGAGCATGGAGATTTCGTTCATTAGGGTATTTAGTATCTATCACAGAAATCTCATGAAAAAAAAAGAAACAATCAGGCAACTAAGGAGCTATAAGAAAGCCGAAAACAAAATTGCAACTATGTATATAGGGCTAAGAAGTAGATAAGAGGAGATTTCTCTAACCTCTGTACGTATATTTCTTCAATCTTCTCTACTTCTCCACCAACCTTTCTTCTCTTGCTCGTCTTGTTGTGCGTTCTCAGAAGAGAAGAAGAAGAAGGATTTATCGAAGAGGAGAAGGCGAAATGGGATTAAAAAAATTTATTAGAAAAAACAGAGTGGAGGGAATCTTCCGACGTCAAAAGGGCACTCACTCGCGGTTCCTGATAGGCGTTGCCCGCCCCCGGGAAAGGGAGCACCCAGTGGTGCTTTAAATAACCTTCAACGCTTAGAAATATTTATTTATTTATTTATTTAATGTTTTTCATAAGAAAAGTGTAAAAAAATACTTTATATATATTTAATAATACGTGTAATTGAAAAAATATTCTCCAAACTTATTTAAAAAAAAAATAGTTGAAATTATTTCGAACGAAATTATCTATTTTCATGGTCAACGATAACTTCATTTGAAATAAATGATTAGGCATATTTATTAAAAAATTTATTTAACAAGAATATTTATTTATTTGTATGTATTACGAGAGAGATAAAAGTCAAATTTTTTAAATTTTTCGGCCTCAATATTTATCTTTTTGAATAGAAAATTTTTTAAAATTATTAAAATAAGTGCAATAGAAAGTCAAAAAATTTATATTACATTTATCTCAAAATAAAGGTTACTATTAGAAATGGATTCTAGCATTTTAATTAAATATTAGAATTTAAGAAGAGTAGTTAGACTCTGAGTTTACTAGATTTGGAGTTTTCTAAGCAAATTTATGAATTTTAGTTTCGGTCCCTAGTTAATTAACTGCGATTGACCGAAGAGTTGACTTTTTTATTTAGGTTGGTTTTTAAAAACCTAATATTTTTAATAAATACAAAATATTAATTAGAGTTGAATGCCTTTTAGTTTGTCCAATTTGGATTTTTCTAGAATTAATTATGAGTTTTCAAAGCTGAGGCAATTAATGAATTATTAAAAATTATTTAATAAAAGGGTGTTTAAGAGTTTTGATCTAAATCAGCTCCAAACTGCTTAGAATCACCCCCAAAGGTTAGAAATGGTCTAAAGAGATGTTCCCAAGTGTTTGAGAAAAATTTAGAATTTTTAATAATTTTTAATTATTTAATTTAATAAAAAAGGTGATGTTCTTAGTCGAAATTAAATTAAGGTTTAGATTGAAGTCCAATTAAGGGAGTTTTAATTATCTGAAATTAAACATTGAATTCTAAAGAGTCTGATGTATTATGGGTAATTTTCTGATTTAAAATAAAATTATTAGAATTTTTTGAATTTATCGGGGCTTCTTTAAGGGTTAGATTAGGATTTGTTAATTAAGTAGTTTAAAAGATCCTAAAAACTCCTAAAAAAATCTGGAAGGTTTAGGATATCACTAAGTTCAAATGTTAAAAATTTCATGTAAATTGAAAATCTATCCTAGCTCCTAGAATTTTTCTAAGTTTGCTAGACATATCCTTAATTATTATCCTTAAGGTGTCGCTACGTTGAATAGGTTTAAATCAAGTTTTGGACTAACTCTTAGGGTACCATAAAAGGAAAAACATAAAAATATAAACTCACAATGTCCTTAAATCTAAGAGGGTCTAGACTAGGTGCTCGTGCGTCCTACACATGTAAAAGTTGACAAAAATAAAAACTAAACGCGCTTAACCATGCGATTAGTGAATGATTGGAGCTCAATCACCCACTAATCTTTCCCCCATGAATGTCATTCACCAACATAACCTATGTTTAAAATTTCGTGAAGTGGATCTTCAAAAATTAGGGAATTTAAAATATATATAATTTTAAAA